ATTGTTTTAGAGTAGAGTTAGCTGACAAATTATACTTTTTTAAGAACTGATCCAGAATGCTAGTATAATTATTAGTTTTTAGAGCAGTTTTTGTGGTAGCTATGATAATAATAACTAGATTGCAATTATTACCTAGTTATATTAGCATATTTATTTTTCAATTTGAAAAAATATTCTAATAATTTACTATGTGTAGACCTCCTATAATTAGTAAAGGCTAATAGGGGCTAAAGGAGAGTGCGAAGTGTGAAGTGCAAAGGCGTAGTAAGTAAATTTTATTTTTGTAAAAAATAGATTAATATAGTATTGATTTCATCTTGACTTAATTATGCATTTCTTCGATTATATCTTGAGAAATATAGCTACTAAGACATTACATTTTTAAATATCTATAATAAAAGTAAAGACAAAGTTTTAAGAATATTAATATCAAAATTACCTTATATAGGTCATTTTATCTGCCAAAACATCAAGAAAGATAGTTTGATTTGTGGGAATGAGAGCATAAGTGATTTAGGATACACCAGATATTATAAAGCCCGTATTAAAACAATATACTCTATCTGTAATGAGCTAACCTATTCCAATACTAGAATCTGTAATACACATAGCAGAATTTATGACCATGCCTGGTGCAAAAGTAAAAAAACTAAAACAGAATTGGGTTTTGAGTGAGACCCCATCTGTTGTAGTCAAGATATTTAGCTGAATAATTAATAATCTAGACTCGTATTGCTGAAGTATTATTTTTTTTGCTTATAGAATCAAAGAGTTCCTGGATATCATTATTTGTTTTTGGCCTATATAGTAGAAGCTCTGGTGCGCTTTTATCTCCAAAACCAGTATTGTTATATGTCTGGTGATTAATTCAGTATGAGTATTGCCAAACTTGTTGTCCTTTAGGCCCTATTTTTTTTTTATTACTTTTAATAGTATATCCACACCAATTGCTAGCAATTGCATTAATTGTTTTTATAGCTAAATAAAGATCTGGTATTTCTTTTGTACAAGACTTAAAACCAAAGAGTAATAAAGATTGATTTTGAATTTCTATAAACCTTTCACAAGACTGCATAAATGATTCTGATGAAGTATCACCAGAAAGAGTATGTTTATCTTCTATATTAGTAAAGCCTAGTATTTGAAAAAGTTCTTGTATAACTTTTCAATGATTTGCTAAATAAGTTTTATACAAGTCCTCTGCTACTGATTTTTCAAAATTCTCTTTGGCTTTATTGTAGCCAATTTTCTATTGTATATTTTCTACAGTTTTTAACTCCTTTATTGCACTCTTATTATCATGATCTTGCCTTCGGAAATAGGATAACTGTAAGAAATGCTTCTGAGGTTCAGGTGAACTAAATTTTTTAATGAACTTTTTATTGCAAATTTTATTTCAATCCTCGATATTTATGTCTTTACTATAAAGATTCCACATATAGAAACATTTAAGTGCTATAGTATCTGCAACAAATCATTCTTAATCAAATTTAAAAACTTTAGCCTCTTTAGGGCTAAGATTTTAGAAATTAGCGACTGTATTAAAATTTGTATTCTTAATAACTAATGCTTTAGCTCTAATCTCATTGTGAACTTTTTTGTGATTCTTTATAACTTCTCAGCTTTTATCTATTTTTATAAGTTGGAAAGAAGCGCCTGTACTAGCTATAAGACTACATGATATCTCAATGAAATTTTTTACAGAAAGATGTTTCCAATGCTCAACTTCAAAGTATGATATTATAGCAGGTGATTGATCAAGTTTATATGATATAATATTTTTATCTCATTCACAATGCCCCCTTATTGCTATAGGCAAATCATTAGGCTGAGCACTCTCAAGTTCAGTATGAATATTTTCATAACCTGGTGGGTGAAAAAGGTTGCTGAAATTTTTTTGATAATAGAGGGATAGTATACACTTCTTACAATTACAAATTTGAAATATCATTGGACAAAAGCTTTGATATTAACTAGAGTTATAATATTGGTAATGCCTATAACTATATCAAAGTGGTTAGCCTTTTCAAAAGATATGCCTGCTTACACTGTGCTTGTATAAGCTATGCAATCAAGTTTACCTTAAGCAGTATTTATATCTGAAAAGTCTTTTCTTTGTTGTTTTTCATCCATATCTCCATAATAAGCACAAGCTTTGATAGAAGAATTATCAAGTCTTTGCAATCTAGAGGCTTTTTCTACCAATACTCTGGCTATATTACAACTAGTTAAAACAAATGTCACACACTTGCCTTGCTGTAAAAGCTTACATTCTATTTGTATAGCTTCAGCTTTACTATTTGAATCATAAAGATACTTAACGGTTTTATCTACAAGTAACTGAAATTTATTATCAATCACTTGAATATTTTCACCGCAATAAGCTTTGAGAAAAGTTAGAGTTGATTCATTCATAAAAGCATACATGGCCAAAACATGGCTCACAGATCTTAAAACATCACGCATTGTATTTTTAGATTCTTGTGCATTTACACCACTACTTATTTGGTGAAGAATCATATTGGTTTTATCCAAAATAGCTACTAATAGGCAGGCTAAGAATTTGATATGAGAAAGACTCTTAACTTGGACTATAATAATATCCCATTTATCTACAGATAAGTTTAATTCATCTTGATAATTACAGATTCTGAGTTTTAATGATTTAAGATTATTAATTTTGCCTTGTAACTCATTACTAAGAGTTTTTCAATAAGAAATCCAGATAATGCAAAGTAATTTGACTTTACTTTTGGCTAAGAAGTTGATATGTTTTATTAAACTTTTTGTTTTTTCCATCATTATAGGGGAGCGAATTAAAGTTGTACTAGGCTCTTCACTCAAGAAATTGGAATAAACTTCTGGAAAATCTTCCATTTCCTTTACATTAGTAATTTTTCCAGATAGTTCAAGAAGTAGGAATGGATTTGATATAGTATTGTCCATTTTATTGACAATTTTTTGTTTAGGTTTTTCTTTCAGCTTGATTATACTTGATGTTCTCTTAAATTCCAATCCTTTATGATCAGGTTTGTATTGTTTCTGCTGAAAACATCTGAGTACAAAGACCTATTTCTTAAAAGAAAACCATATAACTGATCTCTTTCATGTTTGATATCACAAATAGGGCATACTTCCAATGACTTCGTTTGAAAGTTGACAAATCCCTTTCTAATGCTACCAACCTCAAGCTATCTATATTTTGCAGTAACTTGACTAGCTCCCTTGCTTAAGGCAGCTTTATCTTCAATAGGCTAGAATTTTTTATCTTTTTTTGGTTTTTCAGAAGAAAAGGTTTAAGACTAGATTTCAGAACAATTAAATTTAGATTAAACTAAATAATCCTCTAGCTCTTGATATCCTTTCTTAACTGAAGAAACTGCAGGTTGTTTAACTCTGTCTTTCTTTGCTGATTCAAGAAGCTGAAGACTAAAATGAGATTTATAGAGACTAATATCAATAAATTCTGAATATAGCTTCTCAACCTATCAGCAACTTTTTCTACAAACCCTCTAAGGTCTCTGTAGTTAACAAAATATGTATGAGGATACACAATATGCCATCTGCATTTATTAGCATTAGATGAACTGGCTAAGACAAAAACATCTAATACAGCAAGATGTTTTAAATCAAAATATAAGATATCAACACAGGCAATTAAGATTCTGGATAATAAATCTTCATGAAAAATTTTATTTTCATCTAAGGAAGGAAGCTTAGGATTCATGGGATTAGAGTACTGTCTCACATTGATGTCTAGAACCAGATAAAAAAGCAGATTCTCATCAATGCATTCATGAGTATCGAGAATTCTATAAATTTCAGACAGGTGATTAACTACTGTAAAACCCTTCCCTGCCACCCGAATTATATATTTATCAGAAATTTCTTCAGAATGATAGATATCTAGAAGAGTAATATCATCCTTACTATTAGATAAATATTAAAAATATGTATGATCATTATAGCCAGGCTCAAAATCAAGGTCTGCTAAACCAGAAAAAAGCCTAATTGCTTTATTTATTTTACTAGGATTAGGCCCAGATTTTTTTTGCGCAAGTAGCATAGTATATACAAGAAGTCAGTATAAAATTATATAAAAACTTGCAAAGTTTAAAATAAAAATTTTATATAATTTTGAATGAATACACTTGCTAGCAAAACACTGGGTTAGAGGTAGTATTCAAAGTAATCAATATGGTATTAATCGATGAAGTAATATTCTAAAGTATTTCAGGGTAGCAACTATATAAGAAAGAGTTCTAAAAATATGAGAATGTAAAATAAGATATATATTTAGTAGTATAGTAAAGCAGAATTAAATATAGAAAAGAAATAAGAAAATATGCTTTGCTATACTACTAGCAATAAGCAAGAAGGAGGCTAGAAAGGTGAAAAGGCTCAGGAGAATATAAGAAAAAAAGATATAAAATAGTATAGCCTAAACCAATTCAGTACTTTGTATCTTATCTTCAGCAATCAAAAGAGTTATGGGTAGAAGCAACTATATGAAAAAGAAATGTAAGAGCTCTAAAAACCCAAATATAGTACATATTCAGTAATACCCAAAGGTAGAATTATATATAGAAAAATAAATATAAAATTTTGCTTTTGCGTACTATGGATGATAGACAGAAAAGAGGTCAGGAAAGCTCAAAGGCTTAGAAGAATATGAGAAAAAAGGATATAAAAACAGTATATGTGATTGATTTTAAGTAGTAATCAAAAGTATTAACTATGCTAGAAAAGGTTTTAAAATATATAACTTGAAGTATTATTGATAATAGTCAGAAAAGAGGTCAGAAAGGCTCAAAGGCTCAGAAGAATACCGGCATCGTCTCATGATTTTATCACTCGAAGACACAAAGTAGATAATCAGATTTGGAAAAAATCAAACTTTTTTACTTTTTATTTTTTTTAGCCAAAACTATGTCATAATGCCAGATAAAATTAGACGCACGAACTACTATACTACCCGATGCTCATATCCAAAACAGAATCTATAATATGAGCCTCTCTTTACCCAGGCCGGCTACCAAATTGGAATCTATGACGTGACCCAAGCTAGCATCTGAATCAGAATCCAAGGCAGGCTTGGGATTCAGACTCTTGATACCAAAAATAATCTTCAAATCAGCACTCAAGGCAGAGTAAATAAGACAACCAAGACAGTCTCCAAACCAGTACTCAAGATGAAGCAAATAAGAAAGCCAAGATAGTCTTCAAACCAGCATCCAAGGCAAAGTAAACAAGATAACTAAGATAGCTCCCAAAAAGCCACAAAGTACCAAAAATAGAAACTGAGTAATAGTTTATTCATACCTAGGTAACACTTTACTCATAACTAGATAACAACTTAATGTAACTAGGTTGCAATATATATATATTGCAACCTAGTTATTTGTTTCAGTGCTATTATTTTACATATTGTGCATATTGATATCTTGTATTTTATAACCAAGATTGGCCTCTTATACTTTGCACAACAAGGGGTCGTAGAAAATTCTATCTAAACAACTTTTATTAATTAATAAATATTAATTTATTTAGTAAAATTTTGATTTTTATATATAACAACTATTAAAAATTTTAAAAGTAGTATATTTTTAGTAAAAAAAAATTTTATATTTTTTATTTAAAAAAGAGAAATAGCTTATTTTTAGTAGTAATTTATTTTTAAATAAAGAAATTTTACATTTTTTGTTTAAAAAAAAAAGATAGCTTATTTTTGGTAATAATTTATATTATTATTATTATTATTATTTTTTTTTTTTTTTTTTATTTCTTTAATAAGTTTTGCCATAGCTTGACCTCTTTAGTTATTAGTATATACAATTTATGTACATTTATTTTTAAGACTAATCTAAAGCCTGACTTCACTTAGTTGTTTATTTCAGTATATGAGCACAACTTATCGCAAAAGCTTACAGATAAGCTAAAAAAAAAGTTTTTTTTATGAACTTTGTTCAAAAGAGGTTTTCACCCTTTTGTAACCAATATTAGCTCTTAAAAAACTAAAATATTAAGACTAATTTCCCTCCTAATTTTTTCTTCTTCTCAAAAGGCACGAGGCAAAAAGGGAAAGAAAAAAAAAATTTTTAACGAAAATAACCAAAAAAGAAAATGAACAAACTAAAAGAAAAAATAAAGCACAAATTTTGAAAAAAAAAACAACAAAAGAAAAAAAAAGATCTAAAAGTACTATTGTAACCTGTACAAGGCTTTAAAAATTATATAACAAAAA